TGTTCGTCAGTCCTACGTTTTTGCTCCAGTCGTGCTAATAAAAAACGAGTTGTTGAATTTGGCCCCTGGCATTCTCAGACATAAGTTAAGAATTTACTCAACTTTCAATCACTGTCCATCAGAAATATCTCTGATCCAGAAACACAAAAAATTGCAAATAGTTTCTTATTGATGTATTTGATACATTAAAACAACAAGCTTTATAATGGTATGATATTTTATGTTTTACGGTATTAAACAGTTTAAGGGATAATTTCAGTGGATATTTATTATCGAAGATTCGCACTGCTACAATACCATTCATTTCACTGACACATACATACATTTTTAACAAAACAAATGGGCTAATGTCCTTTTTAATAATATATAATATTATTGTATACTATATGTATATACTATTTCCATTTTTGGTTGGTGTGATATTGTGTATGAATGAATGAACAGTTAGAATATTGTGACTTTGTAATCATTTTTTTGTATATACATGTAGTTCTTATATAACCCTCTTTCTATTTTCTTGCTATACGTATTTCTCTTTATCTAATTTTATCCAGAGGTTTGACGTCATAACGTTTTAAATTCATCTCATAATAAAACATAACAGTAGATCCTTTACATAAAATATAGTATTTTACTGTTACATATAAAATATAGCATAAACTGTACATAAAATATAGTATAAACTGTTACATAAAATATAGCATAAACTGTACATAAAATATAGCATAAACTGTACATAAAATATAATATAAACTGTACATAAAATATACTCTTAAAAAAAGTAGGGGATATTCAGAAACAATACAAACTGCGGAAATGCTGCTATTTTTATTAGAGGTAACCAGTGTATGTTACAGGCCAATTGCCTACCCATGAACATAAACAGTTCATATGGGCGGCTTATCTGACGGTCCCATTTCACTCGCATAGAGATAAACTGTCAAAACTGAAAATTGACGTTTTTGAATTTTGTCTTAATAATGAGTAATTGCTCCACCAATCCTCAGACATTCAGCAATTCGTCGTGGCATGCTCCTAATCAACTGTCCAATCAAGATTTAGGGCAATCTGACCCACTCCTCTTGCAGTGCCACGGCCAATATTCTTGCAGTGTTGTCGGTTGACGTTGCCGTCGACGAACACGTCTCCCGATAAAATTAAACGTAACAAACTAAAACAAAGATACGCTAAACAGTAAATCTTATGCAAGAACCGATAGGAAAGCAAACATGGATAGATAAACCAGCATGCGGCAGTTTTCATCAACTCTTCCTCGAAGTGTCAAATTTGACAATGAACCCCACCCACGTGTATGACGCTATTGCGTGTCGCATGTGTGCAGCTCAGTGGTTCTGTTGGGGCGATAAGTTCTTCATCTGTGAACATACTCTCAAAGCGTGTCAAGTGTCCATGACTATTTATCATATCACAACCTGTATAGGTATTTGCATTTCAATATCCCCTACTTTTTTTTTGAAGAGTACATAACATAAACTGTACATAAATATAGCATAAACTGTACATAAAATGTAGCATAAACTGTTACATAAAATATAACATAATCTGTACATAAAATATAGCATAAACCTGTACATGTTATAAAAAAAATATAGCATAAACTGTTATAAAAAAATATAGCATAAACTGTTATAAAAAATATAGCATAAACTGTTATAAAAAAATATAGCATAAACGGTTTCTTTACATAAAATATAGCATATATTAAATAAAATATAATATAGAATGTATTTTTCATATCAAATTTATCTTTACATAAAATTTATACATAACAGTAGTATTAATAGAGCTATATTTGTGGAAATGGTTGTAGTTTGGTTATTACCAAATAACTCCTTAGCTTTATCCAAGGCAATTTTATCATTAGGATTGCCACTACCTTCGGCAAACCAGTGCTGCATACACGGTTCTCTGTCCGGAACAACTTTATAGTCATAATTCCAGATTATTTCACAGAAGTTTGTAGAATTGCTGTAGATTTCACTGAATGACTTGCACGTGGTATTAGCAGGACACTCAAGACCTGGAAAATGAAGAGAGTAGAATTAATATGATGACATTTGTCCATGGTTTCAATAACATGGAGTTTCAATAGTCTGAAGGTTCAGTTGTCCTGTAACTGTTCGAAGTTTCAATAGTCTGAGGGTTCAGTTGTCCTGTAACTGTTCGAAGGTTCAATAGTCTGAAGGTTCAGTTGTCCTGTAACTAATCGAAGTTTCAATAGTCTGAAGGTTCAGTTGTCCTGTAACTGTTCGAAGTTTCAATAGTCTGAAGGTTCAGTTGTCCTGTAACTAATCGAAGTTTCAATAGTCTGAAGGTTCAGTTGTCCTGTAACTGTTCGAAGTTTCAATAGTCTGAAGGTTCAGTTTTCCTGTAACTGTTCGAAGTTTCAATAGTCTGAAGGTTCAGTTGTCCTGTAATAGTTCGAAGTTTCAATAGTCTGAAGGTTCAGTTGTCCTGTAACTAATCGAAGTTTCAATAGTCTGAAGGTTCAGTTGTCCTGTAACTGTTCGAAGTTTCAATAGTCTGAAGGTTCAGTTGTCCTGTAACTAATCGAAGTTTCAATAGTCTGAAGGTTCAGTTGTCCTGTAACTGTTCGAAGTTTCAATAGTCTGAAGGTTCAGTTTTCCTGTAACTGTTCGAAGTTTCAATAGTCTGAAGGTTCAGTTGTCCTGTAATAGTTCGAAGTTTCAATAGTCTGAAGGTTCAGTTGTCCTGTAACAGTTCGAAGGTTCAATAGTATATTGCCCTAATAGTAAGTGCAGGGGAGGCCGCAATACACGCAAAACAAAAATCTACAAGATAAACCCGCGGAAAAGACAGAAAATAGACATTGCACCAAATAAACAAATATCAAATCAAGTGAATGGATCCGGGGGCTTGCCGTAAGCGTCCGCTGCGCTGTACAGTCCCAGGCCTGTAGTAGCACAGACTTCACTCAAATTCGAAAACAATCAGGAATACAAAAATGACGTAACAGAAATAATGCGACCAACCTTGACAGTGGTCGTCACCTCAATGGCGATAGTCTGCCAGTTGACGTCATGAGTTAGAACGTCAATCAATTTTAACAATAAATCAAGAAATCATTACTTTATTTTTGTTCATTTATTACATCTGGGAATACTGATAAATGGATTATTAATTTGGTGGTGGGAATGTTATAAAAACTGACGAGTTTGTGCATTGAGTCATCAAGCTCAAAGGCATCGACACTCACCACCAGGTACCATTGTTTCGAAAAGCCGCGGCGACGCAGTGAGTAAAGTAGTGGCTCGCTAACCAGTAGGTCCCGTGTTCGATACCGGTGTTGGCCGACAAAGTTCATCGGATTTCTCCGGCGTGTTGTCTTCTTGGCAGTGATGCAGGGCGGAAAGCCTGACAAGAAAAAGCATCCAGTCGTTCTGATGTGACGGAAAGGCGAGGTTTCGTGTACCTAAAAGAGCTCGTGGAAGTTGGGATTCAAAGAAGAGTAGTTTATAGCACCACTGTACGGACGAAATTTTACATAATAGCATAGTATGTGGTTAGGTCTAAATATTAAGTCCCCCTACAAATTTCTTCAAGGTCGCAAGATGTATATACGGTTAAGGCACGTAATTGTTGACGAGATGGTGGGTTGGGGTTACCGTAAGGGTTAGGGCTAGGTCTAGGGTTATGGTTAGCGCTAGCCCTGTTTACATCTCGTGACCTTGACGAAATATGCAGAAACGTGGGACGTATCATTTCATTTCCAACGTTTCTAGCCCCCACGTCAACTATACCAATGCTTCAATTCGACCCACGAGCAGCGATTCCTCACCAGCACCACTGGACCAACTTACTATAGCCTGTGTAATTAAAATCTGTTGCCCAGTTAGCGACACAAGTTAGATCATCTTTACAGGCATCCCACCAGTTAATACAGTCAGATTCACACAAAGGCACGTCTCTGTATCTCTCAAACGAGGCGTTTTGAAACTCAATCTAAAAATAGATAATGACGGAAATTGAATACAGAGCATAAAAGGCTTTAAAACACAGATGTGTCATCATCCTTTGATGTTGGCGTACCATTATTTTAAATAACGGTACGGGCAATAGTGCCAATCCTACCTTATTTTAAACATGCATTATGCAAGAGCCAATTTTGCATATTGCAGGTCTTTCTTTAGGCCTGAAATGTTATATAAACTATTAATTAGACATTAATTAACGCATCCAAACCATAATCAACTCTCGGTGCCATCTGATGGGTCCAATTTTCATTAGATTAACCGTAAAATGGGTTTAATTGAGACTGTGTTTATTATCGTATCAACGGTAATAATGACAATCGAGGCTGCAATGTTATTAAAATGAGTTTTCTCGGCTGAGACTATTTGCCCGAAAATTTTCTTTGTTACCCAATTTTTCAGAATGAATCAATCATTAACTAAAACGAATTTTCCACAAAGCTGTGATGGTTGTTTATTTTTAATTAATTACACAATTACACAACAATATATATATTTATAATATATTTGCGTAGGGGTCTTTTGCAGTGGGAGGAAACCGGAGGACCTTGGGAAAACCCACGAGATTGGACAGGCCACCATACTCCTTGCCACGTCAATAGGGGAATCGAAACCACGCCAGTTGACTCAATGACAGACTTTATGATACAGCGCGCACGCGCTAGCCATTCGGCCATCCACCCCCACCCCCACCCCCACCCCCTTTCGGCGAAGGTAAGAAGTGCCTCACATTGATTGTTACTGGACTTGCCTTTAGACTGAATCCTATTCATAACGAAGCTAAACCGCGGCGGTGCGAGATTAGGAACATTAGTCCGTCTTCGTGGCCTCCTTTAGCAACTGGTTAACGCGGTAAGGAGGAGCGAAACAATACTTATCGGCTTCGATACAATATTTATCCTCTTTCGAATCTCAATTCTATATAATAAGATGTAATTTACCGTAGTTATCCATGGCCCAAGGTTTGGTGAACACTGGAAGAAGCAAGTTTCCCGATGGAACTGCTGGAGACATTTAGCTGACATGTTTCCACAGTGATTCCATTCCAGACTTAACCAGACGTCAGACGTATGAATGGTCTCTGAAGTATTCCTGGTACAACACGATCTGTCTTTCCATGGTTTACACTGAAATTAAACACACATTATGCTAGAGCTAAATCTGTCTATTGCCGGTTTTTTCTTTAGGCATGAAATATTATACATGTATAAACTATTAAAAAGACATTTATTAACATGGCGAGACAATAATCAACTATCGATGCCATCTGATGCTTCCGATTTTCATTAGATTTGAATCCAATCTGTCGTTCAACAGCCATTGATGATTAACCACAAAAATGGATAATCAAGGCTTCTTTACAACGGTAACAATAACAACCGAGGCTACAATGTTATTAAAATGAGTATTTCTCGGTTTAGAGTGAAATAATTTGACTGAAATTTTCAGCATATTCCCGTTACATAATCTATAATTCAACTATTATAGCGAGAACTGGCAACTCCTTATCAAATCTTCAAATAATAAGGCCAATTTAAATAATACCCGCGTTTGTCTCCAGAAAACCAGGAGAAATGGTTTACACCGCGGAGAAAAGATTTTTCCTGGGGTTTTGGTTTTTTTTTTTATTTATCATAGTTTCACTGGATTTCTCATATGAGGTAAATTACAAGAAAACGGTATAAATCAACGTATGGCACTAATTGGCCACTGTACATTTCTCCCCAAATGGAAACGCTTACATCGAAACATTCCCATTATATTGCATTAGATCGCCAGTGAACACGCGACATGTAAAGCGGGCATAGAGCGAAGGGAAGACTTAAGGCCCGGTCCCAGTGGCCGATGGACACAAGACGTATGCGAAAAGGTCACAGCGGACGAGCAAACTTTCGGGGGTGGCTCCATCCGTTTTCATCCGCTCCAGAAATGGACAAAATTGACGAAAATTTGCGAAAACAGAACGGAAAAGAACGAACGTGAGAAGTATGTAGCGGGGATGTTAAATGGATGTTCATCGGAAGCCTAGCGGATGAAAGCGGATGAAAGTGGATGACAGCTCCGAAGGGGTTAGGCAAACTCCAGACATCCTTCAATATACCAGATACATCACAGATACAAACGCTTTGTCAGTTTTGAAAACTTTATATACGAGATGCATACACGCTTACATCATTTCTATTTCCGTGCTACTAACGATGTATAGACGTTCCATGTACCTTATCTTTCCTCCCTCTTTCCGTTTTCAGATGGAGCAGATGTGAGTTGCGAAGATGCCCAGAGGATGCAGAGAGGATACAGTGGACGTTTAACGGATGATAACGGACATGGAACGTTTGGTGCTCGTATATGTTGCGCATTTACATCGTACACGGCAGAAAGTTCATCCGTTATAAAAGTTTTGTGCAGCTCAAAACTTTTTGCGCGGATGAAATCAAAGTGAACGGATACTCGATGGATAGAGCGTATGAAACACGTATACAATGAGTTCATAACGGATGCATGGCGTTTTCAAACGGAGGGCACGTTTTTTTCCCCGTTTTACATCCTCTCTGCATCCGTAAGTGCAGTGGAACCGGGCCTTTAGATCGTCTATCTGTTGGTCGAATACGCTCCTAGGTATTTTCCAACGTATGGAATAAAGCAACGAGGTCCTGTGTACATGTTGGCGTGTACGTAAAAGACCCCTTGGCAGTTGGGATTAGTCGGACACAATACCTACAATTTCCCGGTTGGTGCGGAAAAGTAGAACGTTAAACCCCGTTTCATTTAATATCTTAGATTGGTATTCAACTTTCGGTAATTGCTCTATTAAAAAGCAAACTAACGTGTTCAAAGAGATCCGGCTCTGGTGTTGGTTCATATTTATGCTCGAATCCGTCTGCTTCTATACAGGTACTGGCCAATTCTTCCACTGTTGTCCTGTTTCGGAGTTGACCCATTACTACTGGTACCAAGCATAAAATATACAATTTGTACATGTTGTCTAAATTAGGCAGCTGATATATAATTAATTCTGAAAAATAAAGTAAAAAAGGATGGAGATTTTACAACATAGGCGCGTGTCCAGAAGGGAGGGGGTCGGGGCGAGAGGTCTGGACAGTACCTCTTTGCCCCTAAGACATCGAAATATCTTCGAACAAACAAACAATCGAGCGAAACATTGTCACCGTTTGGTCTCACTCCACTCAATGAGCAGAAATATTTTCTTAGTGCTTCTGATTATATAAAATTCTCTGGTACCCCGCACCCACCCGCCCCCGCCTGCCCCCGCCTGACCTCGCCTGACCTTACGCCAAACTGGACAGTCTGTGTCTACACCCCGGACCCACCGCTGCTTAAATTGTTGGATACAACAATTCTACAGTTCTTGTTAAGTTGTCATATCGTAAAAAAAAATTGCTATCGAATTCGATTCCGGTGTTGTCCGAGGTAGTTCCTCGGGATTTTTTTGTCAGTCGTACAAGACGGAGAGTGGGGGGGGGGGGGCGGTCAAGGAAGAGTGTCTAGGCTTTCGGGTAGGACGAAAAACCTACGTCACGTGTATACGTTGGCGTATACGTAAAAGAACACCTGAAGAGTCTGGGCAATGTTTCCCCCAATACACACTGCATGACGAAAGCCCGTCTTCATTTTCCCAGTCTGTTCAGAATAAGGAATTAGAAATAAAGAGTAGAGTAGTGAAGCCTCCAATTCGGTCCGTTGTCAGGCCCGTGGACACCTGGGCTATCTGCTCTAGCTATCTACGGCCCTGTTAAAACACGAAACGTGAAACATATATAACCGTGCAAGTTATAGTATAATTTAAATCTTAAATATTTTAGATAATGCATTATTAATTTTAAAGTGAAAGCCTTCAAATTGAATTTATTTAAACTCTCGGGACAATAACTATTCTATTCCTTTAAAACATTAATTGTATGTGTACTATTAAAAGGTGACTAGCCAATGATGAAATGTTATGTAATGCTTATGACATGTTAATTTATTATAATCCCTTATTGTTTATAAAACTGTTATAGATAGAAAGTAACTGCTTATAGCCTGTCTCGTGAACATGCCAATCGTATGATTAATCTATTAATTGTTTTATTTCTTATATCGTACATTATAACATCAATGCATATTTATGTCAACGCTTGATCTCGACAATTGATTCAAAGTAATTCCATATAAATATGTGATTGTACTTGATGTTTTACTCTTTTAGGTCTATCCGACTTAGTAGCATTAAATACTAGTCGGTTGTCCGCGGTCCTGTAAGTGTATGGAGATAATTATTATTATAAGTTTCCAGTATTAAAGATTTGATGAGTCATTCCAGACTCTTGTAAAATCTGACGGACCCCACGGTCACACATACATTCACCTAGACGTGCGGTATATGACTACAGTTGGTACTTTTACATGGTAAAATGTTCTTATTACTGTCCCAATTTCTTTGAGGAGGGGTAAGGGGTTAAACCCCAGTTCTCTCTCGCTCTCTCGCAACATTCTCGACTAAAATACAAATATACGCTATTACATCTACACAGTAAGATTAAGAATTGGGCGATATTTTGGTAATATCTGGCTGGTCTTTCAGACACTCTGGTTATCGGGTACCGATACAATAAATAGATATGTCCAGTTTAACGTACAAATTTGACGAATTCCGAGAATTAATCCAACCACTTTGTTAGTTTTTCACCTTGATGAAGTAGTGTGTGGTGGCATTTTTATTTAGTGGTATATATTATGTATTATTGGGTGGTATTGGATAAATTGACCTGTCACAGGTAAAAAGCTAATTGACCCAAAAGTTATTGAAATCGATTTATCCTAAGGTAAGTTATAGCCATCTAAAAAGTTTCTATTGTTTTCTTTTTTTCTAACGAGTTTCACTCTATGAACATCGAGGTCAAGATGGCATTTAACCTAGGTTGTTTTTTTTTTAAATGAATCCTTAAATCTTAAATAAATATATAAATAGCAAAAATGACTATTCGGGCACTGAAGCGTTATAATGCTTAAAGGGGATATAGCTCTATTCTCTATTGGACCTTGAAATGAACGAAAGTGGCTCTAAAAGCATATATTAATGTGAGTGTATATAAAGTATAAAGTGATACACAGCACCATTTTTTTTTTTTTTTTATATTAATTTCTTATTAATTATGCTTGGTGGAATATGCGAAAAATCCAAATTTGTTCCTGCTTAGCGCATACTTCAAGGGGTTTTTTGTGTTTTTTTGTAAATCAATCATTTTTTTTTTAAATTACTGCTTCATGGTTTTCTTTGGTCATTAAAAATTGCGCATGAAACCTTTATGCCCATAGAATACACATTTGTGAACTGTAGAACTTTATAGAAATCCCATGTAAAAAGTTTGTTGATGGCCCTATAATAACGTCGTACGGACATGGTTCTCTTTAAATGAATTAATGTATACTGCTTCTTTAATACAAATCAAGGTTCGATGCTCAGCTATAGATCTAGTTTGTGTATGTCTATTGCCGCGTGACTGAACGTTTCTTGTAGCCATTTGTCAATATTATTTCTGCCGACACCGTTTTTTTTTCAGTTACAACTCAAGTCCTTCACGTAAGCCTACAAAATGTCTAGTTGTTACGAAAACGAAATGTGTCTAAATTAACAAGCGATTGCCATGCAAGATACGCCCACATTTTGCAAGAGGTGGAACAGAGAACGAGCTAAAACAAATAAAGCGATTTTACGTACAATTAGGGGCCATAATCCATTAGGGTGTAACGGTGATATATTTAAACGTTTTTTGTTAAAATTGGATAAAAATTATGACTTCTACAGGGTCCACAAGCTAAAAACGCTACTTTTCGAACAATCAGGGGCCATAAGTCAGGAAGTTCCGAAATACGCGAATATCGAAAGGTACCGAGATCGTTGGGATATAAACATATATTTCAAGCTTCATCAAAATTGGATTAAAATTGTGACCGATTTTCACGAAATTCAAATTCAACCGTCATTATGGTATAGCGATGATACATGTATGTCCGAATGGTTTTTCAATCGGATAAAAATTGTGATCTCTAGAGTGTCCACAGCCTAAAAATGTGATTTTTCATACAGATACATTCCAATATCTACACGAACGAGTTCTTTGGGAGATAAACCTATATATATGCCCAACCCACCCCTTCTTCAAGTCTAGCAGATTTTTACCCACCGGCTGCCCCAGGTATACAGCGCAGCATTATTCCCCCATTGTGCCTTTACCGCAAATGGATACGTAGTATGTTATTTGAACATTATATATATATAAATTAGAATACATTTAATTTGATTCAGCATCCATTATTAAAATAATTTTCACTTAATCTCTGAAGCACTCTTCCCCAAGCTGGTGGAGACCCCTGGGCTGCAGCCCCTAAAGCCCAAAGCCTGAAACCAACCCTGGAGTCTAGTAAAAAAACAGTGTCAGACATTAACGCCTGTCCAACCTCGTGGGTTTTCTCTCGGCCCTCCAGTTTCCTCCTACTGCTGAAGACCCCTACGCGCAAGCGAATTATTGAAATGGCATTGAACCATGTGTTAGTCCCGAAATGACCTGGTTTGTGTCGAGTGGACGTTAAACTATCTCTCTCTCTCTCTCTCTCTCTCTCTCAGACATTAAAATGATCATTATAATCAGGTCATCAAGCTAACTGTTCAATCGGAATGCGTGACTATTCATCTTTTACAAATATGATATCTTAACTCTGTATTTAAATTGTTTCTATACAAAAAGAAACTAACCTGGTCGCTCCTATACTGGATATTCTACCAAATTATTTCACACTGATGACACAAAACAACTTATTTTGCTGTGATCGTAACCGGTCAGTTTTATTAACCTGTTCCGCACTGATGATACTAAAGACTTCTTTCACTGATGATCGCTGGGTCCGGGTTACATTGACTGGAGTTTAATCTCACACATGCGTAAACTATGTTGGTGTAGGGTCGGATTGGGGTTGGAGGGGGTGTCGGTGATGCTACCTTGGCCGGATTAACCCTCAGGCAAAAAAGGCACGTGTCCCAGAGCGCAAAAAAGTATATGATAATTATCGAGTGATTACAAAATTGCTTCCCTCTATTTTTATAAATAGCATACTTCGTCATCTACGTATGGTGGCTGATAGTGGCCATGTTAAATCTCACCCTTTTCATAGCGCGACAACACGACATCACGACAGTATTGACGCAATCATACGACACTTAACTCTGTCGTATCATCGTGTTATTTTTATCGTAACGTCGAGATGTCGACTTATTGTCCTAGTCTCTTTCTACAAGTCACAAAAATACAGCTGTACTCATTACATCAGATACATATAAATAGATAAATATAAATAAGACTCGTCAAAAGAGATAATAGGAAAACGTTGATTCGTTTTCTAAAAAAAAATGAAACATTTTGCGCCCAAAATTGAATTATATTTGGTATTATATTCAAAAAATCTAGAATTATAATAGCAGGACAAAAGTGAGTCAGCTATGTTAATTACTTGAATAAGAAGTGGTGTCGGTAGGTATCGAACAGGTATGCATTGCCTCGTGTACGACACCCACCAATACTTATAGATTACTGAAGCGATAGTTTAGAAGCGATTTCAGAAGATTTCCAATTTATTTTATTAGAGTGGGAAGGGGATTATATAAAACCTCAAATCAGACCACATAAAATCACCGCATTGGTGTAGCACGCCATCCCAATAAGTGCAGGGGAGGTTTTTTATGAGGTGAAGAAAGCGATTTGCAGCTGTTATTGACCTTATCGCATATTCATCCGTTTGGCATCACTAATGGGATCTGGGCCTAGATGATTAAAAATAGGCCCAGTATTGCCTTCAGCTATGAACACACTCCGAAAGTCCCCAACGCACCCCCCCCCTCCCTCTTATTTTATTTAACAAATAATTTCGGAATCAATAAAATGATAGGTCCCTATCAATGATGTTTGACACGACTGGAAATTAATGTGTCTAAAATTGATTAAACAACATAGGATAGTAAATATTACATTTTGAATCCGTATCAATGATACATTTAGGGTAGTAAATATTACATTTTGAATCCGTATCAATGATACATTTACTCAAAATGTTCCTTCCAATGGATCACCATTTAACTTGAAAACAAGGGAAGCAGCCGATCGAAGAAAAAAAGATTTTAAAAAACAAGTTTCAATATGATAGTAGTGGTTCGGTCATGCATTTACATCTGTGGGTGTCATCCTTTCTTTGAAAGTAATGATTGTGCCAGATTTGAACAAAGTCCATCTAGATTCGCGGCCTGTAGGTAGAGTGTTGACAGATCAAATGTAAAAAAAAAAAAAAAAAAAAAAAACCCAGACCTATAAAAATATATTTTCTTAAACTCTTTTAACTTTGAAATGATATTGTTTTCACATGTGCTAAGTGTTTTAGCGAATATTTATAGAAGGGTCTTGTAGATAAAGACTATAGCGCATGTGCAGTTTTAAACTTCCGAGACGACAAGTCGACAAGTCGATGATACGACAGTTTAGTGTTTTGTCGTACCGTCGTATCATCGACTTGTCGTGGCGATAAGTCGATGATACGACAGCACGACAAAATAAGGTCGATGATACGACAAAATCAGACGATCTGTCGTAAGATCGCCCGATTTTATCGTAAGATCGTGTGGTTTTGTCGTGCCGTCGTATCATCGACTTATCGCCACTGTAAGTCGATGATACGACGACACGACAAAATCGGGTCGATGACACGACAAAATCACGCGATCTTACGACAGTTTGTTCTGTCGTAAGATCGCGTGATTTTGTCGTGTCGTCGTATCATCGACTTACAGTGGCGATAAGTCGATGATACGACGGCACGACAAAACCACACGATCTTACGATAAAATCGGGCGATCTTACGACAGAACAAACTGTCGTAAGATCGTCTGATTTTGTCGTATCATCGACCTTATTTTGTCGTGCTGTCGTATCATCGACTTATCGCCACGACAAGTCGATGATACGACGGTACGACAAAACACTAAACTGTCGTATCATCGACTTGTCGACTTGTCGTCTCGGAAGTTTAAAACTGCACATGCGCTATAGTCTTTATCTACAAGACCCTTCTATAAATATTCGCTAAAACACTTAGCACATGTGAAAACAATATAATTTCAAAGTTAAAAGAGTTTAAGAAAATATATTTTTATAGGTCTGGGGTTTTTAGAGTGTGTTCATAGTTGAAGATATTACTGGGTCTATTTTTACTCATCTAGGCCTCAATCCCATTAGTGATTTCAAACGGGAGAGAGAGAGGGAGAGAGAGAAATGGGGTTTAACGTCCAATCGACACAAATTAGGTCATTTCGGGACTAACATGGTTTAATTTTATTTCAATAAATCGTTTGCGCGTAGGGGTCTTTAGCAGTGGGAGGAAACCGGAGGACCCGGAGAAAACCCACGAGGTTGGACAGGCGACCCTACTCCTTGTCACGTACAACCGGGGATTCGAAACCACGCCAGTTGACTCAATGACAGGCTGCGAATCGTTTTCTCCATCTCATTCAAAAAAAGTCCTGCAACTATTGGGGTGACGTGCTGCACTATGATAAAAATAATGCTGTGATTTTAAAGAATGTGGCCCGATTTGGTTTTTCTACAATCACCTTCCCACCCTGTCTTCTGATATCACTTTTAAACTATCGCTCCAGTCATCTATAAATATTGGTGGGTGTCGTACACATGGCAATGAATGCTTACTTGTTCGATACCTCCCGACACCACTTTTTCGTCAAGGAATTAACTTAGCTAACTCACTTTGGTCCTGCTATTGTAATTCTAGATTTTTTAATATAATACCAAATATAATTCACTTGTGGGCACAAAATGTTTCATTATTTTGAGAAAACAAATAATTAATCAACGTTTTCCTACTATCTCTTTTATATTTATCAAATCTGCTACTTAGGCCTATATATGATGTAATGAGTACAGCTGTATTTTTGTGACTTGTAGAAAGAGACTAGGACAATAAGTCGACATCTCGACGTTACGATAAAAATAACACGATGATACGACAGAATGACGTGTCGTATGATTGCGTCAATACTGTCGTGATGTCGTGTTGTCGCGTTATGAAAAGGGCGAGATTTAACATGGCCACTATCAGCCACCATATTTACGCGTTTATCTTCTTCTTTTTATCGGTGAACCCAAAATATCTGTACTTTCAGGCCACCTATCGAAATGTACCTTAGGGCCAGCAAAGCCTTAATCCGGCACTGCTGGGACACCAAACTAATTCTTGCCTAACACATCTCCTGACCAAACTGCTATTTAGACCGTTTATTGTGATATCTACATTTGTATGAAAAGCATGTAATTTAAAATTTCATGATTTTATGATATTATTTATTATGTTGTTCATGGGTATGTTTGTGTCAGGCAGGGTTCCTATGCAAGCTTAATCCGGCCCTTTATTGATAGGCACTTGGTAAGTGATTCCAAAATATGGATTTCTTAAGTTTTAAATTCCTGGGATGTAGATGTCAGATATCATTGATTTCGACATTAAACTGTGGAACAAATTACCTTTTATTCTAAGAAGCTGTACATCACTTTCCACTTTTAAAGACTTTTTTTATTTATCAAAGCTTTTTATTAACTATGATATTGTCTTTTTATCCCAATTTTTGACTTAGCTGGTTTTATAGTTCTGTTTTGTACAGTAATTTTATTTATTCTTATTTTTTCCTTTGACTATTTAGATGTATTTTATTGTTTTGTATTGTATCTATTTAAGTTTGTAATGATGCGCTATATATACGCCATAATAATAATAAATACAAGGTAAATATTACGACCTTGCTGGATGAAGCTACCCGACAAACTAGATCGAAGTTTTCATGCTTAAGGAGTGACAGCTTCCACCATCCATACCTTTAAGAAGGCACTAGTACCATCTTGCGTGGGCGTAAACACTTAATGGTCTGTTATACTTATTTCGAATTCCAACTGTTCTTTTACGTGCACGCAAACGTGTACTCTAGATCCTGTTTTATGCCCCATCCGAAGGAAATGGTTGTAGTTTGGTTGATACCAAGCTTCATCAAGGTAATTTTATCATTAGGATTACACCTACCTTCGGCAAACCAGTAATGCATACACGGTTCTCTGTCCGGAACAACTTTATAGGAATTATCCCAGATAGTTTCACAGAAGTTTGTAGAATTTCCATATATTTCGGTGAACGGCTTGCACGTGAATTCAGTTGGACACACAAAACCTGGAAAATGAACGGAGTAGAATTGATATGCTGAAATTGATCCGATGGTTCATTAGTCTGGAGGTTCAAAAAGCTCGACGGTTCAGTTGATCTGAATATGTCAATTTGTCCGATGTTTCAGCTGTTCTGTAACAGTCTGAAGGTTCAATAGTGCATTGCTCTAAGAAGACTAATATAATTAGAAGCGTTATTTAGAACTCCCCTCCAACCACTATTGCCACCCACTCTCACCCCCATCCACCATTACAACAACCCTCACCCTCCGCCACCATTACACCCACGTTCACACCCATCCACCATATCAACGCTCACCCCAGCTACCATTACCACCCACTCTCGCTCCCAGTCACCATTGCCACCCAATCGCAGCCCCACTCTCACTTCCAGTCGCTATTTCCACCCACTCTCACTCCAAGCTGTCATTACCACCCACTCGTCATTACCACCCGATCGCAGTCCCAGCCACCAATACAACCCACTCTCACACCCATTCAGTCCCAGCCACCAATACAACCCACTCACACACCCATTCACCATTGCATCCACTCTCACTCGCAGTCACCATTATCACCCACTTCCACACTCACCCACCACTACATTCACTATCATCCCCAGCCACCGTTACCACCCACTCCCACACTCACCCACCACTACATCCACTATCATCCCCGTCATCCACTATTATCTTTTGTCTTTCACCCCTTTCTGGGTTAACACCGGGAGCGAACAC